ATTTAAGAAAGGATTTGTATCGCTAAAGTTTCTTCAGAAAGAATTTTTACGGAAAATTAACAAACGACTTGTTTTAAATAGGCTTGACTAAGCCTATATTTCACGCCGTGTGTTACGCGAGAAACCAAGTTTACACAGGCTTTGGTGCCCTATTTGTTTTCAGCAGCGTTTCCAATCTTTCAAGTCTAAATCACGAACAAAGTTGGCAAACATTTGAAAGTACGGGGATGGTAGGTTTATCAGATAAACCACAGCTGCTGAATGATGTAAAAAGTTTGGGTATTCTTTCTTCTTCTTCTACCAAAATCACAAATGAATATATATATATATACACAAAAAGTAAATTGAGGTAGGTTATAACAAAATAAATAAAAAAAAGTTGAAATTTAAAAATATGCAAATAAGGATCGTAAAAAAAAAATAAGGAAACAGGGCTGGAGATACATTGTTTACTCAAAATCAAACTACAAACCTCTGTTTTGGCTCTATACTGTTAGTGTTAGCTAGAATTACATTTGGTGGAGTCAACATATAATTGTCGTATTCATCGAACCTTTTAATCAAAACTTGTAAGTCCCTAACATGCGTACTTTTTTGTGTGCATTTTATATGCGTATAACCTTTGTAGCCAATAGTAAAGTTTTCAAGTGTTGTTTGAACTGAATCTTTACTGTTTTAGGTGTTTTTTGCCCGAACGTTCCGTTAGGGTTTTGTGCCATGCCATCCCTATTATGAACCTCAATCGTTGTTCATGATATTAAGTCATTGCTAACCTTCCCATTGAATCATCTGTTTGTCTGTTACACGCAAATAAAAATGGAGAACACATGTTCAATAAAAAGATGAAATCGGTGATTTGTTAATTTTTTATTTATTTCTCTATTATTTAACATTATTATTGCCACTAAATGAAGTCCAGGATTTTATGAAAGCAACTTTAAGCTTGATTGATATAAAATACTTTATATTTGATAACACTAACAACAGTGAATACACTAAAGTTACAACTTACCTGAATCAGTGTTTTTGTTTCTTGTCGCAAAAGAGTATCTAGTACTTTTAACAGCATTAAAAAAGGCTTCGAAAATTCATTGCCTTCAATGTGTTCACAGTATTCTCAAGCTGGGTTTTGATAATAAGTTTTCTAAGTGCGATTCGATTATTTCTGTTAGGCTACCAATTATTGTTTAGCGGGTCTCTTGTTTATCTCTTGTGATACAAGTAAGTTGTAACGTAACAGCAGTTCCGACCTTTTGTTCGTGGTTTCAATTCGGAAGGTCGGGAAAACTGGCGAATACGAGTAGGACACGAAAGCCTATAAGAAATAGGAATCCATTGTTTCGCTTATTCTAGGATTTCATTTTTAGGTACTACATTATTATGTAAACTTTAATATTCTTTCGTTCAATCAATTGTTGTAGCGTGTCATTCCAATCATTGGACTTTGTATTCCCCACTAATCTTTCTCTCGTTTGATTTTTTTTTCATATATCAGAATATATCAGCAGCTTAAATATTTTAGAACGTTAATAACTTAATGTATTCATTAGGGTATAAAAAAAACGCATGTTTTTTGTTGTTGTTGTTAGGTCTACCGTGTACTGTGGAAGAAATTAGAACGCAGTGTTTTGCTTTTTTTTTGTTTGTTTATTCGTGCGAAGAAGAGACGACATTTACTACACAAATATTTACCCTGTATTTTGAAATTACTGTTCACAAGCGAATTGAACAGTGCATGCGAGTTTTCTGAAAGACAGTTCAGCGTTTACACACACAGTCTACACTAAGGTACGGTATTATTTTGCTTTTTTTATGTATGGTATTCAAAGAGAGAGAGAGAGACCGTTTGAGGAAAAAAACATTTACAACTAGCGTGGGTAAGTAGCATTTACTCTTCTGAGCAGATCAAAATATATTGCTAAAGACGGTGTGTAATAATATTTCAAACATCTCTCTCTTTTCACTGTTAATATCTACAGATGCCGACATGTCATTAAATGTCGTTCAACACTGTGGGAAAGTGGAAATAGATAGAGCACAGCTCCACAGGGGGGAGTAACGACATTGTAAATAAAAGCCGTCAAATTACACATCCGTTACGGCGTTTTTTTCGTTTCTATCATGTTTGTATCATGTATCACTGTGACTTTGAGGTCCACATGTTACTACTCCTTGTCTCTTATTCTAGAAAAGCCCGCTTTTACGAGAAGTAGGGAAATTTTATTACATAGTAAATAGGCCTGTCGTCTCCAATTAAGTCAAAATAAGCTACATAAAGTAATTTCGTCGCTGATATAGGGTATAAAGAAAACACGTGTTTTTTTTGTTTTTCGTTAGGCCCATCGTGTAATGTAGAAAGTAGAACGTACTGTTTTGCTTTGTTTGTTTGTTCGTGTATAGAAGAGACGACATTTGCTACATAAATATTTACCCTGTATTTGAAATTCTCTGTTTCTGCGGGAAAAGTGACTTTTCCCACCAGATTTGGTACAATTAAGGTCATCATAAAAGTGTGTTGTAAAAAAAAAAAATCCCTGTAAGAAAAGTCCAAATGAGGGGTGGTGAAACAGAAATTAATATCCATGCCTCTTTATTAGATTGTTTTGTAAAATTATTTCCTGTATCTTCATTAGGCAATTTTCAAAAATTATTTTGGCCACATTTTGCAGAATTTGACTGTAGTTTCAGTTTCCATAGTACAAATTTCTTTTAAAACTTTTTTTAGAATATTCTCATTTGCGCCATGCTTTCAGTAAGTCATGGAAAACTGGGACCTTTTTTACCTATAAAGTGGATTTTTTATTTTACCGGAACCTTTTTGACAAAGACTGTAAATTGTATGGAACATGCAAAAATATTTAACTTGCGAAAGTAAAATTCGCACATACCAGTTTGATTTCGCATGTTAAATAAATTTGAGGCATGACTTCAGAAAAATGATGAAGATAACGTTTCTTTTTCTATGACAGACGTTAAAATATGAGGAAAATGTGATAAAATATTTATCAGATAGTATGTCAATGGACTGATAATTTGTAGAAATGTTTTAATTGTGAAAAAAGAAAAAAAATTGTGATCCAGTTTTCGTAAAGACTACCAATATCAAGTAAAATATTAGTAAGTAGGGCCTTTTAACGGGTGGCATACTGAACAGTCGGATTTACAGATAAATTTTTATGGTCCAAATATTAAACAGGCGGGATATCTTTTTTTCTTTCTTTCTTTCTTTCTCTTGGAAATCTCCACCAAGCCTATTTCAAAATATGTGGCAATAAATTATAGATAAAGTTTAAAGACGTGACATTGTGTTAATTAGATTAAATATATTAGGTAATAAGAACCACTTCATCTCGCGCCATCTGGCGACAAATGTTACAAGTTGACGTCGAAAGGTAGGCCTTCAACAAGGCCGTCAGTGGAGGTTATTTCGTTGAATCATTGACCGTGATAAATGGCCACAGAGTTTTAATGTCCACATATTGTGATTGTAAATGAATAGTAGTGAAATTAAACCAATCTAAGTATAAGGTCGTAGCTTTGTTCTGGACATTGGGGTTTCTGGTATGTTATATATTGGAGGTTAAGGGGGCAGAAGAACTACCATTTTAATGTCAGTAAGAGTCAAAATGTAAGGAACTTGAAAAATCTTAAAATACTGTTTCTCAGATGAGGGCCTTTAAGTAAAACAGAGCTCTCCAATGGAGGGGGCTAACGCCACTCCGACTATTATGCCCCCTAGCCTCCCCTGGGGAAGATGGATATTCAAGTGGAACATAGCAGATCGTAACTTATGAGAAAACCTTTTATAATGTTTATTATATAAAAAAAAGGCTTAAATTGATACATTATTGAAACAAAACGATTAGGGTGTACATAATATCTAGTTGAAAATAAATATAACAATCGGTAATTGTATTCAGTATTGTTCTTCTAGCAGTTTCCATGTACTCTTCTGACCCTCTCAATAATTCTCTCATTAAATATGCTGAACCTACTATATCAAGTTGTATCAAGTCTCATCAGATCACTTCGGTTCGGTGTGAAGATTGTTATCTGATATAATTTGATATACTATAGTGAATTATCTAACCCTTGTTAAACGATTTGTGTTCCACACAATTATATTCAAACGTTGCCTGGGATAGCATGTAATAATAATAATGAAAACTACGATAATTAACGAGAACCAAACGTTTTATTGTAATAGGTAATAACATAACGTTTTACTGTAACTAAGTGCAGCGTAGCTCTTTACTGTAAGTGGAACATAAGTAACTTATAAAGGATTATATTCTCATTAATTACAGTAAATGTAACTAAGTAGAATACATAGAATACAAGAAACTATCAGTTATCAGTGTAATTAATGAGATAATAGATACCTTTCACTCCAATTTCCGCAAATCCCTCTGAAATTAAGAACGTGTATATTTTATCTGAAATTCGTCCGTACGTTTTTTAAAGTTTTAATGACGGTTATTGTTCTTGAACATTTTCTACACTGTAGCTTGGATCTATCCAGAGTGTTAGGATGTGTATCTTTGATATAAATAATTCTAGAGGCACGAGGGATCTTTCGCGAGTTTGCATAATTTCTATTTGTTTCTAACAAGCAGATGAACACAAAGCTTCTCGACTTCACATGTTTGACATTTCTTGTTTTACAGAACTGCCTCTCGCCGATGGAGAGGACCCGGCATGGCCAGGTGGTTAGGGCGCTCGACTCGCAATCTGCGGTCGCTGGTTCGAATCCCCGTCCCACCAAACATGCTCGCCCTTTCAGCCGTGGGGCTTTATAATGTGAAGGTCAATCATACTATTCGTTGGTAAAAGAGTAGCCCAAGAGTTGGCGGTGGGTGGTGATGACTAGCTGCCTTCTCTCTAGTCTTACACTGCTAAATTAGGGACGGCTAGCGCAGATAGCCCTCGTGTAGCTTTGCGCGAAATTCAAAAACAAACCAAACCGATGGAGAGTTACCACTGAAAGATGCAATAAACCAAACAAATGGTCGCTTTGTTTTAAGGTAACTGTTGAATGAAGAAGGTTAAAAGTTCTTTTAGACTGTAGGGAAAAAAATCTGATTGTTAATTGTATAGTTGTAAAATGTTAGTTTTCAAATCAAACTGTGCTTTTCTCGTAACATTTAAGGTGTTTTGCCTTTAACATACGTACTTTTTTTGAACAGCGTGTGATCTAGTGGTTAGTATAGGTGCATTATTTCCCCGAAAGGAGGCCAAATGCCGCCTGGAGGGGTCACCTGTTTTAACCACTTGCACCACTATACAGTACTGTGTTGTCTGTTAATCGGTCAATCAGTACAGATTAAAATGACGTCACATAAGAGATTCTTAACGTTGCAATTTGTACTGTCGTGAAGTCAGACGTGCGCATGCCATGAATCACGGGAAGAATTATGCACTCTATATGCTAGAACATAGCATGACATACATGAACTTCAAGAGCACGAAATAAAAATACATGTTACTCTGAATTTTGGTTTTATATACACTTGAAGCAGAACACTTTCGAGGATCCTGCTGAAGTACATCTAGTAGGAATAGTTTTGATAACCGAAACAATTCATGTGAATATGACTGAAAATTTTAATTTTTTCTGGAAAGGTGGTGTCTGTTTACTTGTGACCACACTGTGTGTATGTATATGTGTGTGTGTGTGTGTATATATATATATTGTTTGTGACTAAAAAAGTTTGGAAGTCTGTAAATATTGTGAAGAGGGACACGTTGTGAAAAACTGAATAATGGCTCAAAACCTATATTTTTATATTTACTATTATATTTTTAATATCACACATACGTATATTTTGATATTTATTTGACTTTAAATTATAATTCCTGCAGAAGCTGTACTTTAGCTAGAAAACCAGCTTCTCCAAAACTTGAACCACTTTCCGTTACAGGTGACCATCTTAACTGCCCCAATAGCTTTGATGGTATCGGTGGTCAACTGTCCCATGCGATCAAGATTGAACTGAGTGCCGAGATCCACGTGGACGATGAGGAATACCTGACGGTGAGATCAGAACACGGGACCAATCTCGTGAAAATTGCTGTGCATGAGATTGGGCATGCATTAGGATTACCACACAATAACCGCAGCTACTCCATCATGTACGCCATCTACTCACAGTTAATTCCAAATAACAACTTTGAGCTCGGATGGGAAGATCGCAAGATGGTACAGAAGATATACGGTAAGTAGGGTCATTATTACATAAAAAAACCCACTGGCACGGATTTATAACGCTAGAAATCGGGTTTCGATACTCGTGGTGGGCAGAGCACAAGATAGCCCATTGTGTAGCTTTGTGTTTAACTACAAACAGTTACATCAAAAAATCAGTTTTAAACTACAGATTTGTTTAACTTTAAAGTAATGGGTAAGATCCAGAGAATCTTAAAATATGGTAAGTTTTAATTTGTATTTAAATTATAATAATTACCGACATTTATAAACAAAGTATATAAACAGAGTCAAATTTCAATTCCATTAGAGTCGAGTTTGGTTGAAATTAAAAGTTTTTTCAAATTTATGTGTACGTGGACGCGATTGCTATGCCAGAGAACCTTCGTTCCTAATTTGAAATATTCCTCAGAATGAAGACAGCCAGCATCAGCTGCCCCTACATGAGCTTTGGCCGATCCTTTTAACTGACTAACAAGGGTTGACATTGTAATCTTTTACCGTATGCCATTCTTAAAATCCTTCATTACTCGGGTGTTAAAAAGATTATATTAGGAAGATGGTTTTAATATTTATCTTTCGGTACCATCCACCTCACTGTTAACCTCTGATCCAAAGATGGCCGTGTCCTATGGGCGCAATCTTACTGGATGACATCAGACAGCCTGAGTTAGCTTCTTCTAAAACCTTGACTTGTCTACTCGTCAAAATAAGAATATGCTCCTCGGGGATATAACATGAAATATTTAGGAAAAAAACACTTCTGATTCAGTTATTTGAATACAGATAATTACAGGAAACACATCACTTTTACTCTCCTCTATTGTTTGGTTCTCATAAGATTACTGTTTCATTCGGTTCTGTTTAAAACGAGAAACCGTTTTGAGTAGACTGCATCCACAAAGACTGATAAAGGCAGCTTCCTTTGGTGAAATCATCCTTCGATTCGGTTCTGTTCAAGGAAGAGGGACCGTTTTGAGTAGGCTACATTCACAAAGACTGACCAAGGCAGCTTCCTTTGGTGAAATCATCCTTAGATTCGGTTCTGCTCAAGGACGAGTAACCGTTTTGAGTAGGCTACATTCACAAAGACTGACCAAGGCAGCTTCCTATGGTGATATCATCCTTAGATTCGGTTCTGCTCAAGGACGAGTAATCGTTTTGAGTAGGCTAACATTCACAAAGACTGATCAAGGTAGCTTCCTATGGTGAAATCATCCTTAGATTCGGTTCTGTTCAAGGACGAGAGACCGTTTTGAGTAGGCTACATTCACAAAGACTGACCAAGGCAGCTTCCTTTGGTGAAATCATCCTTAGATTCGGTCCTGTTTAAGGACGAGGAACCATTTTGAGTAGGCTACATTCACAAAGACTGACTAAGGCAGCTTCCTTTGGTGAAATCATCCTTCGATTCGGTTCTGTTCAAGGACGAGTAATCGTTTTGAGTAGGCTACATTCACAAA